CATGGACTAGATCCGGGGCTTCAGCTCTCAAACCTCATTTGCCCACTCCCCACCCCCGCCCACTGTCCGCACCTTTGAGGGGCGGGGATAGGCGAGATGGGCCAGTGGTTTTCTGCATTCTTCCGGTGGATTAAAATCCGATTCGGAAGAGGGAAGGGCCGCCAGCACCAGTCTGCACAGCCCCCGACCCCGGAGACCCGGGAAGGAGTAGGGACCCCGTGTGGTGCGCGGAGGAGTGACCCGGCCCGGCAGGGAGCGGGGAAGGCGCGCTTTCCTGGAGGTCGGCGCGGGGCCGAGAGCCGGGATGGGCAGGCGCGGCGGGGATTAGCGGGCGGGGCGAGGGCGCAGCGCAGGGAGGAGGAGGGGAGGCGGCGCCAGCGCGGGCTGGGCGGAGGATCTGGAGAGGGAAGGGGCGCGCGAGCCTCGCGGACCCCGGGCGCGCCCGGGCCGCCTGAGCTGGGCCAGCGGCGCGGCGGGCGCGGGCTTGGGCGAGCGGGGAGCCCCGGCCCCGGGGTTGCGGCGGTGGCAGGGTCGCGGGACCGGCTGTCCACGTGGGGCCCGCGCGCGGTGCCTCTGCCTGACCGTGCCCGAGCCTAGCGCGGAGCCCGGCGCGGGGGCCGCGAGCACAGGCCCGGGGCTGATCGTGATCGGGTGAGTCTCATCCGGCAGCGGGGCTCGCCTTCTGGCCGCTCTGCGGGCGATGTGCGCGGTGTTCTCTGCCCTCGGGCTGCGTCTGGCCCGGGCTTCCCTGCCGGCGCTCGGGAAGCGTCAGGCCTGCCCCGGGCATGGCTCACGTGGAGAAGTGTTCCCCGCCAAAGGGACTCCTCCGTCACCGCGGTCGTTCCTGGGACTTGCGGGTCTTGGGTCAGGGCGGTGTGAGTGCTCCATGTTGAGCAGCGGCTTCCCATGGCCACCCTGGAGTGCCCCTGTGTGCCACCCCGTCCTGAAAACCAGCCTGCATTTTAACGTGTTCAGAGTGCAGTGCTTGTGTCAGACAGACCTGTCAACTAGGAATAGACAATTTTGAAAGCTGCTGTCACTGACGTTAGAATTTCTGCAAAGCAGTGTGGCAGAGGTTTGTGGGCTGTCAAGAAGCAACCTACAAGTAACTCCAGATGGTTATTTCCCTGACAGCTGGAATTGAGTCATGGAGATTGGAGCTCACCCTTAGCTCCGTGCACCTGCGAGTGAGTGCAGTCTAGTGTAGTGACTGCACTTCAGTCCACCCTACGAAGACCTGTCCCCAAAGCATCAGCCTTGCTGTATGTAAACAGTATGGACAGGAACTAGTGTAGAACTTACATGTCTGTGTATAGAGGCTTCATAGGCATGCCACCACATTCAAGTTTTAAAACACTTGCAGGATGCATCCTTAAGTTGTGTACACTTTCTTAGACTGTGTAGCACATATAACTAGTCCATCGTTTATGGGGATTAAAGAGGTTCAATGTTATGCATGAAGGACCAGTACAATCCTTGGTTAGAGAACAGAGAAACCAAAGAAACAAAACAAGATGTGAAAGGAAAAAAAAATATGAAAAAGAAAAGAAAGGGATTTTTTAGCCTCTGCTGTTAGTTAATTCATGATGTTAGTAACTTGTAGTCCCGGAGAGACAGGCCGGTCAGTGGCCTGGGTCCTCGGAGAAAGCCCGTCCCCGTCTTCTTTGTGCTCTTGGGCAATCATTGAGTTATGGACTTAAATTCCTGTTCACCTAGTTTTTTTGTGAATTGTGTGGTCAAGTTTGTATGTTATTACACTGAACTCTGAAGCTCAAGAAATTGCTCGAAAGGAGACACGGAGGGGAAGGGCAGAGAAGAAAAAAGGATAAATGGCGTCGAGTAGAGGAGTTTTAAGGCATCTAATTCCTACTAATTGGTGTGACTGTTACCCAGCTTCCCATTTCCTTCTGCCCTGCATCCCAGGACCTCCTGGCCTCAGCTCTGCGTCCAAGACAGTGGGAAGCCTGGTCCTGGAAAGGATATGGTGTGATGTGAAGAGACACGAGTTCCTCTGTTTTGTAAATAATTTTCTTCTTAATTTGAAAAGACCTTCCACCTTTTCCCCTGAAAAAGAGGGAATTTCCTAGAGGAAGAAATTATTCATTGAAACAAACTCGCATGCATCTCTTTCTGAATTTGGCTTTGAAGTTGCACAAAAGGCGGAGGAGGACCTCGAAGCGGGACAGGTGGTCTTGAGCAGAGCAGACGCTCCATTTGGAGGTGAAAACTGTTCGGGGGAACATCAGCTGCTCAAAGAAAAGCTGTGACTTTTTAATGAGTGAAACGTTATCCAATAATGTCCTGAATTTGGGGAACATTTTCATGTCAGGTCACAGTGTAATCCTGTGTTTCAGGCATTAGCATTCAGAGTAATTCTGTAGTGAAATGAGTTCTGCACTGGAGTTGCTAATTTCATCTTTGCCTGTTGATTCTTTCAACAGAGGGCATTTTTTGTGTGATGAGTGTTATTTCAGGTGCTTCGATTAAAAGATGAATAAGGTGTCAAGGTCACAACAAAAGGTTAAAATGTGAAAAGATCTATATAATACAAAATGCTATGGGAGGTCCAAAGAAACAAGAACACAGCATCTTCATAGAGTAGCATGTGATGATGATAATAGCAGTGAGAGGACAGGTGCGGTGGCTCATGCCTGTAGTCCCAGCAGTTTTGGAGGCCAAGGCAGGAGGATCACTTGAGCCCAAGAGTTCAAGACCAGCCTGGGCAATATAGTGAGACCCCATCTCTACAAAACATTAAAAAGTTAGCCAAGCATGGTGGTAGACACCTGTAGTCCTAGCTACTAGGGAGGCTGAAGGTGAGAGGATAGCTTGAGGCCCAGAGGTCGAGATTACAGTGAGCTGTGATCCTGCCACTGCACTCTAGCCTGTGGAGCAGAGCAACGCCCTGTATCAAATAATAATAATAATAACATAATAATAACAGTGAGCAGGTAAACCTGATTTATCTAGCACTGATTAGACACTTCATATACTTTATGTACAGATGTGGACACTGAATTGAGGAGAGGAAAAGTAACTTGCTTGAAGCCTCAGTGGCAGAGCAAATTTGAACCCCCTATTATTATTCTGTAGATATGTATCATAAAAGAGCAGTGTTTTAGTTAATTCATTATGCTGGGTTTTAAAATTATTTCTCAGTCATATATTAACTCATATACCAGTATGTTTTTTTTAGTGTTCAAAACAAATCTATTTGATGTCATTTTTAGTTGTTATTTTCTGTTATTAGTATTTGTATATTTACCTAAAAAGTTATTGAGTCACATGTAAACAAGAATTAATTAATGGCTTGAAAGCAACTGAAGAGAGCTAAAGGTAAAGCAGTTTGTCAGCCTAAAGCATGTCCTTCATTCTTTTCTCTGGTGGCCCTTTCTTTAATACCTTTATCCTCGGAGTTACCTGGTTGTCCGTAAGATACATAAGCAACAAAGAGAATAAAAAAATATCATATAATTCGGCCGGGCGCAGTGGCTCACGCCTGTAATCCCAGCACTTTGGGAGGCTGAGGCGGGTGGATCACAAGGTCAAGAGATCGAGACCATCCTGGCTAACACAGTGAAACCCCATCTCTACTAAAAATACAAAATATTAGCTGGGTGTGGTGGCAGGCGCCTGTAGTCCCAGCTACTTGGGAGACTGAGGCAGGAGAATGGCGTGAACCTGGGAGGCGGAGCTTGCAGTGAGCTGAGGCTGCGCCCCCCCATATTTGCCCGGGGGGGAAAGAAAAAAACCCCTTCCCAAAAAAAAAAAAAAAAAAATCATATAATTCTATTATTCTCTCTTGCACGAGACATATCTATGGAAGGTAGATGTTCTTGCTAATCTGTACATGGCAATTAATTTGTTTTAAAAAATTCCCTTTGTTGGCTGGGTATGGTGGCTCATGCCTGTAATCCCAGCACTTTGGGAGGCTGAGGTGGGCAGATCACTTGAGGTTAGGATTTCAAGACCAGTCTGGCTAATATGGTGAAACCCTGTCTCTACTAAAAATACAAAAATTAGCTGGGTGTGGTGGCAGGCGCCTGTAATCCCAGCTACTCAGGAGGCTGAGACAGGAGAATTGCTTGAACCTAGGAGGCGGAGGTTGCAGTGAGCTAAGGTCAATTAGGTAGGCTTATAATTGGAAGCAAAAACAAACTTTTTAAAAATGCATGCTAGAGTGGTGTCCTTATTAGAAATATTGAAAGTTGAAGTTTTTCCTAATTCACTACCGTATCTTATGTTCATATGTATTTTATTTATAAAGAAAAATCAGATTTCTATTGAAAAGCAGAAGTTGTTGATTATTAAACATCAGGAAGATACTTTGACTATAGAGGAAGTAAATGTTTTAAGTGGTTCATTGAAAGGACATTTCAATGATTAACAGGAACTGTGCTACACCAGTTAGGCTTAATAGTTTATTTAACATCTAGATATTTCGTCTGTTTTAGTTCTTCATTAAATTTTAATGTTTTCTAACTCTTGAAAACTCAGTATACCCACAAACAGCAATGCTAAATTAAAGCGAGTTAGATGTCTGTGTGCTTCTAAGTGAGTCTAAAGAATTTGATGCTTCTTAATATGGGATTAATGATTTTTTACTGGAGGGCTGGTTGAGTTTTGTAAGTATAAGGGGCCTGGTCAAGGGACAGCTGGGACCTGACATCCCTGAAATAGTGCGAACTGTTTGGGGCAACTTTTACTTCTCTGGCTAAGTCACAAAAAGTTGATGTTGTCTTCAGTTCACATAAAGGTGCATGTAGGTTAATGGCAACCTTGATTTTAAGAAAAATAAAAATGATAAGGTCCTAAGTCTCAGTTTCTTGAGGATGTGGGGGATGTGTGTGTGTGCGCGCACGCTTATGCACAGGTGAGTTTGGAGAGATGTGGCAGAAGAAGGGGAGCAACTTTATACAAAAAGGAAATTTTAAAAGTCTTAATGAATAAAACTATATTATTACATTAGGGAGACTTTTCATGTTTTATTTTATTTCCAGAAGAGGACTGTCAGAAGGACCTAGAAGGCACAGTTATACTGTGAGAAGCAAAGATCCTTTACCTACACATTTTACAAGAAATGTGCAGAAAGCCATTGATAAATATACCTGGTAAGAATTCGCCTTGTTCATTGCTTCAGGTTACAGAATCACAAACTGCCCGTAACAAATGTGGGAAAGGAAATTAGTGACTGGCCACGAATTTCTAAAAGTGAGATGCAGTTTTATTTTTAACCTAGTGTAAACATCACACTGTAAAAATATTTCAACATTAGTATACTGTGAAATTAGTAAATTTATTTAGTGAAAGAGGAAGCAGGCTCAGGGAAGCGAAGCCACTTAGCCGTCCAAGCCCTTCCAGCAAATGTGATTTTTTTTGCCCATGTTTATTCCTGCAGCGAATCATCCTTTTCCTCCAGCGGAAGCCGCACACCCACGGGAGCCCACACCTCTTGGTCTGGGTCGGCCACACAGAGCTCCACCACCGGCTCGTCCACGGAGAGGGGCTCCATTTATTCCTGGAGAGATGACGTATGTCTCAGAATATTTTGGATAATCTTGTAATTACAGTGTATAGTGAAGAATTGCTTCCTTATATTCAAAAATTTTTTTTTTACCAATTATAAAAGCATGACCTATTGCATACATACATGTACACACATGTAAAAGCATGTACATGTTACATGTGAAAGTAATAGATCACGAACTGTGGAGAAAAGTGAAACTCCCTCATGACCTCCTGGCCCCGTCTCAGCGCCCGCAGTGTTCTCCTTTCCACCCTGCAGCCGGCTCTCCCGGTGTGTGCTCCCGGTGACTTCTTGGTGGTATCCATGGCCAGAAATTCAGGACTTGAAGAGGAAAAAAATGTTGGAAAAGTAAAAGCTGTGACAGCCCACTGTGATTAGAGAACTCCCCGCCAGTACTCCCAGTCGGATATTTCACCTTCACCTCCTGTCCCTGGGGGAGCTGTTGCCTCTGAACTGCTTTTGCCTGTGTGAGCCTGGGATTCTGGCGGGGTGAGCTCTGCTTCCACTGCTCCAGTTTGCTCAGGAACTCGCTGGCTCCACAGTCTCCTCCCTCCTCCTCCCTCCGGGGGTCTCTGAGGATCCCCGGACACAGCCTTCCTTTTGTGAGGCCCACCTGGCTACAGCGCCTTGGGTGTTCTGTTTTACCTCATTTATGCTGGTGGTTTCTTTTTCTTTCTTTCTCTCTCTCTCTCTCCGCCTCTTTTTCTCTCTCCCCGTCTTTCTCCCTCTCCCCCTCTCTTTCTTTCTTTTTTTAAGACAGTCTTGCTCTGTCCCCCAAGCTGAAGTGCAGTGCTGCAACCTCGGCTCACTGCAACCTCCGCCTACGAGGTCCAGGCAATTCTCCTGTCTGAGCCTCCCCTGTAGCTGGGATTACAGGTGCGCAACACCATGCCCAGCTACTTTTTGTATTTTTAGTAGAGATGGTGTTTCACCATATTGGCCAGGCTGGTTTCGAGCTCCTGACCTCGTGATCCACCCGCCTCGGACTCCTAAGGTGTTGGGATTACAGGTGTGAACCACGGCGCCCGGCCTCTTTGCTTTCTTTAAAAGCGGTTCCCCACTCTCACCGCACACTTGAATCCGCTTCTGTCCGCAGCGGTACAGCCGAGATTCTCAGGGAAGTGGGCAGTGGAGGGAGTCTGGAAGGGACTCAGCTCAGCACTGCTAGGAGGACTTTTCACGCGTGCGGCTCCCTTACTTAGGGGCAGCTGCCTCCTCCCTCAGCCTTATGCCCGCTCACTGCCGCCGCTCAGGCCCGCCTGCCTTGGTAGAAGGCTGAGCACCACTGCTTTACCCTGTCCAAGTTCTAGGATTCTTTTAGTATAACATTTAATGGAATTACCAGGGAAATCCGTATAACTTCCATTTATAGAATTAAAAATACTCCAGACCCTATAATTGCTTTTCATTTTAATTTTTAAGAATGTATTTACTTTTCGATGGGAAATATTTGCAAAAGCAACGGAATGCAAAAGATAGAGAAATGAAAGTGAGCCCTCTCCCATGCCCCAGCCACCCAGTCTCCTCCTGGGAGATAAATATTATTATTAGTTTTCCTTTTCTTTGTATTTTAAAAGAAATAATTCAACTCCCCTGTAATCTGGGAATCTGGTTTATTATCAATTTGAGAGAGGAGCTAATGCAGAAAATAACAAATAGCATTCTATGAAAATCAACCTGGACTGACCATCTGGGGACACATGTGTGACTGAATTCACTCTTTGCCCTGGGGACTGTGGAAATTCTGGCGCTCCTGGAAAACCATGCGGTGGGGATCCTGCCTTGGCTCTGAGAGTTCCAGGAGAGTTGCCTCCCAAATGAGACTGTCGAGGAAGGCTGAGAGGTTTTCTCGTCTCTGGTTCACTGCAGCCAAGTGTAAGAATCTCCTAAGGCCAGACGAAAAATTAATACTCGGGCCTCACCCTAATAACCACACTTCTTAGGATAACTGAGGATTTAAAAAAAAAATTTCCCAGTTCATTCATTAAAGGAGGTTAATGGCCTTTTCTACAAAAGTAATTTTCTTTTCTGTGGTATCACCAGAAAAAAAAAAAAATCTTGTATTTTGCAGGTGTGCTTAGGTGTGTCAGGCACAGCTCTGTGAGGGACACGTGGCTACATGTATGTGCAGACATACAGATGTGGGCGTGTGTGCAGATATACAGATGTGGGCGTGTCTGCAGACATACAGATGTGGGCGTGTCTGTGTGCGCGCATACAGATGTGGGCGAGTCCGCGTGCCCAGACATACAGATGTGGGCGTGTCTGTGCAGACATACAGATGTGGGCGTGTCTGTGTGCGCAGACATACAGATGTGGGCGTGTCTGTGCAGACATACAGATGTGGGCATGTCTGTGCATACAGATGTGGGCGTGTCTGTGCAGACATACAGATGTGGGCGTGTCCGCCTGCTCGCAGACGCAGATGTGGGCGTGTCCGCGTGCGCGCAGATATACAGATGTGGGCGTGTCCGCGCGCGCGCAGACATGCAGATGTGGGCGTGTCTGTGTGCGGACATGCAGCTGTGGGTGTGTCTGTGTGTCGACGCTGATCTCTATGGCAGTGTGAACACCTCCACCTATACCTGTATCTATGCAAATTCTCGAGTCTCATCACTCCCGTGGTAGAAGTTTTCTCTGTTTAACAGTAAAAGTATCTGAGGTTCAGCGTGAGATGGTATTTCTTTGAAAGGTAACAGCTGGAGCACGGGTGTGTCTGACTGCAGAGCCACCTCCTTTTTACCGTGTCATGTACCCTCCTACATGGTGGGTTACGGTAAATGTATAAGTAGCATTGATCCAGAAGCCCGCATTTCTATAACTTTTAGGGTCATAACTAAATGTGCATTTCTGTTTAGGAATTTGACGAAGCCAGTGCACAGACAGTGCAGCGGTTACTCTGGGAGGTGGAGGAAATGTTATTTGAAGAGAAAGTGAACCCTCAGACCCAGAGTCTGCTGGCCGAATGCGGGGAGTGGACAAGAAGATCCCTCCATCTGAGGTGGGACCTTGGTGGTGGAAGTTCTCTGGGGTGGGTTTTCGAAGCGCCCACCCCTGGCCTGCCTCGATATGATCGATACGTTTGGTCTGAAAGCACCTGCCCAGTCGGAATATGGACGCAGAGTACGGTCCTTCACTGAGAGATCATTGTCCTCTTACGGTGTCTGAGGAAATACTGAGACATTCCAGTACCCAAGCGCCTTTTAATTTGCGAGAAGCAAATTCGGCTCGTCCTGAGAAGGGCATTACACATACACTGAATGCAAGAACGGTGGCGGCCACCTCTTACCTTCACATTCACTGTGTGTGAGCAGCACGTGTCTGTCTTCATCACAGAACACAGCGAGGGCGGGCAGTGATGATGTGCAGAATGGCTGGATAGATGGGTCTTCCCATCTCACCCATTCCTTATGTAGGGAGGAGCGTGTGTTACTTTTTACATCAAAGATGGAGAATATGGATGGGGTAAGAAGGCAAGCTTTTCTTTCGATCACTCAGCCAACGTACTGGAGGACAGTTTAGCAAAGTTCCCTGAGTTCCTCTGGATTCTGTCTGGGGAGAATCAATTAGAGCACTCATGTAAATGTGGCTGGATTTCTGGTTACATTCACGAGATAACTTTTACAGAAATCTCGACCAAACTAGAGTTTTTCTTTTTTTTTCTTTTCAATCCTGATAAGTCACCTGCCCTAAAGAGTATGATATGTCCACTAGATACTAGTTGTGGAAACTCACTTTTCTGGGGATGGTCACTCACCAAAAATTTGGGAGCTCAGTCTTATTCTTGTCACTGCTATCTTACATTATTGATAGAAATGGAGGGAAGGTGGGAAAAGAAAAGATTGCCAGGTACATAACCAAGTGTGCATATTTATATGTTTTTATTCTTGTTATGTTTGTGTTTAACTGTGCATTGGTTAGTATCTATGGAGAGCTTCTATGTGCCCAGTGTTGCCTTAGACACCTAAGTCTGTCATATATGATCTCTAAGCCATTCATCAGCCCTGCAAGGTAACCATTATTATCCTGTTTTGCAAGTGAAAGACAAGCAAATGAAATTAGCCTGAGAACCTTGCCTGAGACTGAGCCAGTGGAAGAACAATCTGGCCTAAACTGTCAAAGTCACGCTTCTTCTATGATGCATGATGCTTCCCACGTACCCATACATGCTTCATGTCATACACATGCCTTCAAAATCATTGTTTCCTACTTTTAAAATCCCCAAACCTTTTCCCTTTGTCTGATCAAAAATGTTACTAGCTTCTCTTTGACCTTGCAGAGTGTTAGGAAGACAGCTGAGCCTGCCCACTGACGAAGGCGTCCAGCATCTCCAGGGCAGCACTGCTGCCTCCGAGGTCCACAGACCCCCGCTCAGTGCCTGCGGACGCAGCAGCAACATCAGAGAGTATGTTCAGATGAGTGACTCTCAAGAATTATTGTTAGCTGTATTTCAGTTATACTTTTTAATGTTTATCTCATCTACAAGCCTGGGCTCCACCCAGTTTGGAAATTTAGATTCTGATGAAGGGCAGGTACAGAGAACAGTTTTTATAAGAAGCTCTTGATTCTGAATTGATGATAGGCGTATGTGTGTGTCTATAGAGAGATGTGTAATATATGTATATGTGGAACACACATGCTCACACGTGGTAGTTACCTTCCACGTTTGTTCCAAAGACGCTGTGAAAGGTGAACTGGGTGCAGGATGGAAACCGCCTCACTGGGATGGATTACAAGCCTCCAGGCAGTGGCAGCAGAAGAAATGAAGCTCTGTCCTGTCATTTCTGTTCACTAGAGGATTTTGATGACTCTATGCCATTCACACGTATCTGGTGTGCCGTGACACAGTGCAGTCCTTTCACTGCAACCAAAGAGGGTACAAACTCATAGAATAATTTAGGCTTTTAAGAAGCCCTTACGATTTTTAATGAGGCCTGTATTAAAGTGTTTTTAAGGACACGAGTTTTGTCCAATGTAATATTCAATCGTTTTGGGGGGGATTCTGTACTTTAAAGATAAGTTAAAAATCTGCCATGATCATTTAAGCATTGCGTTCTTGGTGTCCTGTAAACTCCCATGTGGAATCTGGTTTTTCCCCATAGGTTGTGCATTTCTGGCTCTCAAATAGTCCCAGCAGCACTCTCAGCCTCTGCCCTTCCAGGCCCCAATGGGACGGGGGTTGCTGACCTCACAGCATGTTCATCTCTGGAAGAAGAGGTTTACCATGTGGATGGAAAGATTGAAGAGTATTTCGCTTTTGACAGAAAAGAGGAGTAAATAGAATCTTATTTGACATTGGCCTCATAAAATAATATTTATTTGACGACATTATTGTTATCGTATGAACATTAAGTGTTTTGTGTATTTTTTACTCACCCAGAAGATTTCTGTTCTTTTGAGAGTAATGTACTCCCAGAGCTTTTGGATTCCTAGCAGGCAGCGCCTGTGCAGGAGCAGTGAAGAGGGTGTTCAGCGCCCTTGTAAAAGCAAACACGGCTCCTCGCAGTTCTGGTGCTGGGGGCTCCAAGTTCCCCATCCCTGGCTGCCCAAAAGGGCCTAAGGAGAGTCCCTGCCTCTGCACTAAATTCATATTTTGTTCTTAATCAAAAACTACAATTATTACATGATAAAAATTTGCCCCACGATTGAAAATTGGCACATTAAAAAGTAACACTGATAAAACCAGTCTTAACAAATTTTAGAAGACTGAAATCAAGCATCTTTTCTGATCTCAGTGGTACGAAACTGAAAGTAACAGGAAGGAAACTAGAAAACTCCCAAATATGTGTAAACTAAACAACCCGCTCCTCAACAACCAGGCAGTAGGTCAAAGAAGAAATCAAAAGGGAAATCAAAAACATAATGAGACAAATTAAAATGGAAACACAACATATTAAAACCAAACTTACGGGATACAGTAGAAGCAGCTCTAAGAGGGAAGCCTATGGCAATAAATGCCTACATTGAGAAAAAAGAAATATCTGAAATAAACAACCTAACTTTATACTTGAAGGAATGAGAAAAAGAACAAACTAAGCCCAAACTGAGTAGAAGGAAGGAAATAACAAAGCTCCGAGCCGAAATAAATGAAGAGACTAGAAAAAGAGAAAGATCAGTGAAACCAAGACTTGGTTTCTTGTTTTGTTCCCCCCACCCAGTTTTATTCATGTGTAATTGACAAAATATGTATATGTTGAAAAAGAACAATGCTGTTAAACGAAGAATGTTTATTAATATATGTATAAATGTACATACATGAATGTGTGTCGATAGAATTATTTTAACTCTAAGCCTTGATATTTTAGTAATTGGAGTGGGTTTTTATTCTTAGTGATGATGAATGTCTTGAACAAAAACCAGCTCAGCCTGGTAGGAAAAGGCGCAAACTCGGACTTCCTCCTGTTTCCCCTCATGAGTGTGTCAAAGATGCCGTGACAGCAGAAGTGTTTGATCACGTCTGGACAAATATGGTAGAACTTTTGGAAGAGCTCATTAGAAAGCACTGGGAAACTACACTCACAGGTACTTACGTGCAGAATTAATTGGCTTAATGAAAAGAAAAAGTCCCTGTTCCTCAGCCCTGGGCTCCTGCTCCCCAGGAGCCACACCTAGAACATGGTCAGTGAGAAGAAAAGTGGGCGTTCTGACTTTACTCACGAGTGCTCCTTAGTCCCTTCAAAAAGGACGCTATTGTTTTTTGCGTTATAAAAAATAATGCAGGGCTGGCTGGGTGCGGTGGCTGACGCCTGTAATGTCAGCACTTTGGGAGGCCGAGGCAGGTAGATCACCTGAGATCAGGAGTTCAAGACCAGCCTCGCCAACATGATGAAACCCTGTTTCTACTAAAAATACAAAATTAGCCAGGCATGGTGGCACGTGCCTGTAATCCCAGCTACTTGGGAGGCTGAGGCAGTAGAATTGCTTGAACTCAGGAGTTGGAGGTTGCAGTGAGCCGAGATTGTGCCATTGCACTCCAGCCTAGGCAACAAGAATGAAACTCCATCTCAAAAACAACAACAACAAAAAAGAATACAGGGCAGGCATGGTGACTCAGAACTTTGAGAGACCAAGGCAGGGGAATTACTTGAACCCAGAGGTTCAAGGCTAGCTCAGCTTGGGCAACATAGCAAGACCCTGTCTCTTCAAAAAATACAAATAAAAAGTTAGCCAGGCATGGTGGCAAGTGCCTGTAGGCCCAGCTACTCAGGAGGCTGAGCTAGGAGGACCCCTTGAGCTCAGGAATTCAATATTAAAAGTAAGCTGTGATCGTGCCACTGCATTCCATCCTGGGCAACAATGCGAGACCATCTCCCCCCAAAAAATAACAATGCATACGCGTCTGAAAAACATACAGAAATACACAAGAACAAGGCTAGAAGTCACGTTTTTTGTTATAGTAAAAATAATTTACCTAATTTCTAATAATAAGATATATATTTTTAATTGTTCATGACATTATCTGTAATGTAAAATGTAAACATAGCTAAATGAATAATCCTTTAGTTATCTTACTTCAACATATAAAATATTCTCTAAACATAACATTGAACAAAACAAATCATAAAAAAGTCGGTGATGCACATTAATGACCAGTTTTATTAATCAATTTGTACAATAAGGCAATAATCATGTTAACCTAAATCCTGTTCTTTTTCTAGTATTTAAGGAATTAGTTGGGCTTTGTGATGTGCTGAGAATCTTTATTGCCCACTGTGTAATCCACTTCTCATGCCACTGCAACCACAGTTACAGCAGCCAGTTGCCCCATACGGGTCTCTGCCCTCCGCAGTAATGTGCATAGTGGCCATAGCATGGACTCACGGTAGCTCAAGAACAAATATTTCTTTCAAGAGTGAATTTTAAGTATTTGTATTAGATAATCTGATGTTTCTTATCATATTGATTCTTCTTTTGATACAGAAGGGAAAAAACAGAGAGAAAAATTGAAAGTAGCTGGAAACAGATGTTCACATGCCCTCATTCCACACACTCACGCTGATGGAGCCAGTGGCTCCCCGTCCGGAAGCTCCGAGGCTCACAGCATCTCCCTGGCTTCTCGTCTGAACCCGCCCCAGGTCGGTGCTTTCACACCCTTCTCCCTCTCGCTTTCAATCTGTGCGTCTCTCGCCTCAGTTTGTCAGGAGGGCCGTTCTAGTAAGCTGTAGTATTGAGATATTTGGGGCTGCTTGCCATGCTGCCTGCAGAGGGGTCCATGCAGGCTTTCCATGGTAACTTAAAGGGAAACCTTCACAGTGTCACGACGCCTGGAGCCCTTGACGTCCTGCCTATGCAGGACGAGGCTGTCCTCAAGTTCCTTGCAGTAGGAGCCCACGCAGGCGGCACCACCCTTGGCTTCCAGATAGAGCAGTATATCCACAAAAGGAGCAGTGGTGGCATCTCTGTCAGAAATCTGAAGGGACCTGGGAGAAGCTGCTGCTGGCAGCTCATGCCATTGTTGCTGTTGAACCCTGCTGCGGTCCTTGTCATGCTCCAGGAACAGTGGCCGGCGGGCTGTGCTGCCACTGGGGCCACTCCAGCTGCTGGCTGCTTCTCTCCTGGAACCTTCACTCACCAGATCCAGGCCGCCTTCCGGGAAACACGTCTGCTGGTGGCTACTGATCCCCGGGCGATCACCGGCCTCTCAGATAGGCGTCTTGTGCTAACCCACCTCCCATTGCTCTGTGGAACGCAGATTCTCCTCTGCGCTGTGTGGAAGTCGCCATCCCGTGCAACAAGGGAGCTCGCTCAGTGGGCCTGATGGAGTGACTGCTGGCGCAGGGAGTTCTGGGCATGTGTGACACCATCCCCCAGGAACACCCATGGGAGTCCACGCCTGACCTCTGCTTCTGTAGAGACGCTGAAGAGATTGAGAGGGAAGAGCGGCCTCCTGCTGATGCCGCTGTGGCCAAGGGGGAGTTTCAGGGGAACAGACTACCCCAGTGCCTGCTGAGCACTGCCGCCCAGCCTGAGGCTGCAGACCCAGCCCAAGTACACTGCCGCCCAGCCTGAGGCTGCAGACCCAGCCCCTGTGTGCACCGCCACCCAGCCTGGCCTCTGTGTGCACAGCCGCCCAGCCTGAGGCTGCAGACCCAGCCCCTGCGTGCACTGCGCCCAGCCTAAAGGTGCAGACCAGTCCCTGCATGCACTGCCGCCCAGCCTGAAGGTGCAGACCAGCCCCTGCATGCACTGCCGCCCAGCCTGAGGGTGCAGACCCAGCCCCTGCATGCACTGCTGCTCAGCGTGAGGCTGCAGACTGCCCTGAAGGTGCAGGTGCCCCCTCTGCCTATTCAGCAAGTCCCTACTACAGACTGGAGCACTCAGCCTGCCAGGGAAGCCTGTTCTACAACTCCCAATGCTCAGGCCCCTGAACGAGGAAGATCGACCACTGAGCAGTCTCAAGCTGTTCTTCCACAGGCCACCAGCAAGGTGGAAATAAGGCTGATGGAAAATAAACATCAGTTTCTATTTAAAACAATGATATTCAGGTCTGTTTGCAACGTGATTATTTCATGAAGTTTAACAGAATTACCACATGGCACTGCTTTGAGATGTGAAGCTGTTTTCTATATTTTGGGACATAAAAAATGCTTTCCCCTTAACATTTCCAGCTAGTTTGAAAATTACAAATGTTCTCCCTTCTTTCCACCAAAGTGATGAAAGAATCGGTGAGTATACGCTGGGCTTACTCAGCATTTATTGGTGGTAGTTAAGGCGTTTTGAGGAGATACAGAGGTGAATCCTAGTGATATAAAAGCCGTGACACAGGGTCGGGTGCGATACATTCTGTGAGGGTCGCACAAAAAAACACAAGCAAAAACAAACCTTGTAGAATAATCAAGGAGTGATTTGTTGTGATTACAGGAGGGGATTGGTCTTTTACACTGGAGGTAAAATTTGAGCAGAAACATGAAGGAATGAGCCAGGCTCTTGGGTGAGAGAACTCTGGGTGGGCCATTTCAGGCCAAGCAAAGGCGTGGATGAATACAAGATGGGGCCTGTTTGGGGACCGTGACTGGGCTGAGCTTAGGGGTAAGAAACTGGGAACCGCAGCATGGTGTCAAGAACGGGGATTAGGAATCGAGAGGCCTGTGAGGAGTATTCTTCTGGACGTGGTGTTTAACTTTTCTGAACTTTAGTGTCCTTGGCTTACAATGAGATGATTATCTTGTCCAAGGGATTATCATGAGGATAAAATCATAGAAATACCTGAGAGCTCCTCCCACAGGGGCCAGCACATACTGAGCGCTTAATACATTTTTCTTGAATTGCATTTTTATTGAAGATGTGATCGCAGGTGAGGCTGGAAAGGACACGCTTGTTCACGCGAGGCCTGTCGTGGTGCCCAGGAGGTGTTTCCGCTGCCTGCCTTGTGTGGGGGAGCAGGGAACCGCGGAGTAGAGCAGGATTCCTGGTCCTGAGCTACACAGGATCTGTAGTATAGCTGGAGGTCAGCCATGCCAAACCAACACACACACACCACATACACACACACCACACCACTCACACACACACACACACACACCACTCACACACACACACACTAGACACACCACACACACCACATACACACACCACACCACTCACACACACACACCACATACACACATCACACCACTCACACACACACACACACATACACACACCACACCACTCACACACACACACTAGACACACCACACACCACATACACACACCACACCACTCACACACACACACCACACCACTCACACACACACACACACTAGACACACCACACACCACATACACACACACCACTCACACACACACACACACACACCACACCACTCACACACACACCACACACCACACACACCACACACACACACCACATACATACCACACCACACACACACACACACCACACCACTCACACACACTGTTCACCACCACGCACCACACCACTCACACACACACACCACACCACACCACTCACACACACACACACTAGACACACCACACACCACATACACACCACACCACTCACACACACACACCACATACACACACACCACACACACACACACCCACATACACACACCACACCACTCACACACACTAGACACACCACACAGCACATACACACCTACCACTCCACACACACACCACACCCACACCACTCACACACACACACACACACCACATACACACCACACACACACACACACACACACCACACCACACCACTCACACACACACACACACTAGACACACCACACATACACACACCACACCACTCACACACACACACACCACATACACACACCACACCACTCACACACACCACATACACACACCACACCACTCACACACACACACACCCCACATACACACACCACACCACTCACACACACACTAGACACACCACACAGCACATACACACACCACACCACTCCCACACACACACCACACCACACCACTCACACACACACACACACCACATACACACACCACACCACTCCCACACACACACACACCACATACACACACCACACCACTCACACACACACTAGACACACCACACAGCACATACACACACCACACACCACACACACACACCACACCACACCACTCACACACACACACACACACACTAGACACACCACACACACCACATACACACACCACACCACTCACACACACACACACCCCCACATACACACACCACACCACTCACACACACACTAGACACACCACACAGCACATACACACACCACACCACTCACACACACACACACACCACACCACACCACACACACACACACACTAGACACACCACACACCACATACACACACCACACCACTCACACACACACCACATACACACATCACACCACTCACACACACACACTAGACACACACACACCACATACACACACCACACCACTCACACACACACACACCCCACATACACACACCACATACACATGCTGCTCACACACACACACACCCCACATACACACACCACACCACTCACACACACACACACACCACCACACACACACACACACACTAGACACACCACACACCACATACACACACCACACCACTCACACACACACACACACACCACACCACTCACACACACACACCACACCACACCACTCACACACACACACTAGACACACCACCACATACACACACCCACACCACTCACACACACACACTAGACACACCACACCACATACACACACCACACCACTCACACACACACACACACTAGACACACCACACACCACATACACACACCACACCACTCACACACACACACACCACATACACACACCCACCACTCACACACACCCCTTTACACCACACCACTCCCACACACCACTAGACACACCACACACCACAGCCACACACACCACACACCACACACACACACCACACCACTCACACACACACACACACTAGACACACACCACACACCACATACACACACCACACCACTCATACACACACCACACATGCACCTCCCACCACGGGAGGCGCAGTCTCCCAGCTAATAGAGTGAAGCTTGCATATATAGACTACTAGTTCTGAGCTTGATGTCTTTATTTAATACTCCATGATTTTAAATCAGTCCCTGTTTCTCAAAACCTCAATTTCCTGATTTATGAGGTAGGAAGCTGTGAGAATTAAAGGAGAGAAAACGGCGTATAGTGTGTGGTGTAGAGTGGGCATTCAATAAGTGTTACCTTTTATTATAATCAGATACTAATTATATTCATGAAGTATATATAATCCTTCATAATTAGATTTTTGTGTAACTTTAAAATTAGATGTAATATTTTGTAATCAGATTATATATATTTTATAATTAGATGTGTTTTGGATCTAAATTACTCTGGGGTCAGAGGAAAAATATAATTTTCACGGAGTAGGGTAAGATATAGACGAGCCCTAAATGATAGGTGTGATTTGTTAAAATGAGAAAGGAAGGCTCTTAAAACAAAGCAAAACTGTGCACCTGGCACAGGAGCACCTAAACCATCGATCTTTGTGAGACTGAAAGGCCACAGGCCTGAACAGAATCCGTGCTTTAGGGGGCAGTGGGGAGAACAGAGCGCCTCAGAGGTTTGTTTCACTCTCTCGTATTGAGGAGCTTTACAAGAAGTCTTCTGTGCCTTTCTGTTCTAAAAGAAGACTTTCGGAATTGCTCCCTGCTTATTGTATTTTTGGTCTCTTTAAACTGCTCTGACAAGTTCAATGAGCATTTCCCACTTTTAGTATTAGGCAGCATGAATATCACAAAGAGCAGTGGATGAACCTTTTAATATTAAACCAAAATAAACAGGCGGTGGAAAATACGGAAATTCTAGAAACTGAGGCATTTTTAAAATAGCTGTTTTGTTTTATAATTACTCTGTTTGGATAAGTGTTAAAAAATAAAATGGACAATTAACAGAGTAAATAGAGCCTGTTTTGAAATACTCAAAGATGTTCTAGTGGTAATTATAAAAAGCTCTTAAGTTATTCCTCTGTGTATGACTGTGGTTGCCACATCTGTTCATGAACTAGAACAGAATTCCAGTCCCAGAAATCCTGTTCTCATGAATCTAAATATTATTCTTTAAAAAAAAAATGTTTAATTTTACTTTAAGTTCTGGGATACATGTACAGACTGTGCAGGTTTGTTACACAGGTATACATGTGCCATGGTGGTTTTGCTGCCTGCCAAGAAGAAGCTGTCATCTAGGTAAATGATTTTAAATCCTAGTTGGTCATGTTGTAGAGGACTGAAGGGAGTTAGAGAATTACTTAGCCCTTAGCTCACGCTTTCTGTCATCTCATTTCAAGTTCTCACAATAGCTCTGTGAAATACGTATGATTTTCCCCCAATGTAAAGATGAGGCCATTAAAGCTCTAAGAACAAAGTAAGCTTTCGAGAATTACAAATCAGGAAGCAGTCAGAACTGGGATTCAGGCCAGAGCTTTCCAGGGCCCAGGCCATCTCACTGCTTCTGGGAAGAGAACCCAGGCAAGTATGGAGGGGAGGAGGAGAGGAGGTCAGGCAAACAGGCAGCTAGCCAGGGCCGTGATGCCGGCCTGTGCTGCTCCCAGTTCTCTCTCTGCCTTCCTCACCTGGGTTGCAGAGGCTGATGCACGTTGACCACACCAGGGCTCCTTGCCCTCCAGCCTCTGGGATCTCAGAGCTTGGGGGAGACTGGAAAAACCACGGCTCTGCTTCCCTGCAGCCTCCTGCCGATCACCCTGGGCTGGTGGCGTTTCTACCCCGTGCAGCTACCCTCTTCAGGTGCAGGAACCTCTCCCTCACTTCTGGCCACTTTTGTGGGTGTGCTAGTGTCCTACTGTCGAGAATTAACCAGTTCGTTGTTAATGTCTCCAGCCCACCATCTCTATAAAATATCTCCACTTTATTAGGTTTTCCTCCAGTTAGCTGGTGAGTGTGCTGTGTGTTTCCTGCGAATTCGGACAAGCGTCGGTCATTGGAGCGGCACTGAAGTTTGTAATTTTTTTCCTGTTCTCAGATTCACTTCGCTTCTCCAGCAGATTTTATAGTGACATTTTTATAGTGACATGGATGGCGTCATGACAATTCACGCAAAGCCGCTTCAGCGGAGACCTACCTGTTTCGCCGACAGAACGCAGTACGTATCAGAATCAGTAGTAGTTACCCAGCCTCTTCCCTGGGCTGCAAACACTGGAGCACTGAAGATCGCAGGGGGCATGAGATCACCAAGGTCCCACTGAATCCCCGGCTTCGGATGTGCCTGAGCACGTCTGGAAACGCAGAAACAGACCCTTCAGTACCAGCCACACGACAGTCACTATCGTGTATTTGGTTGGGAGAGATGGGGAAGGGGAATGTAGTCCTGAAATTCTAAGTCTTGTGGGCTTGGCTGTTGGATTACTAACAGTGAAAACCTTAGCTCTCTTCCTGTGGATGATGCTTCTTTGAAACAGAAATGGAAATGATGGGTCTTTTCATTCATGCAGCCAGTGCTTAGGAGTATGTTCTAGGTGCCAGACTGTTCTAGACAGTCAGTGCTCAGCTGAGCACAGACAGGTGCGTTCCCTGTTATCCCAGCACTTGCAGCTGAGTAGCTCACAGGATTTCCTTCCCAGGAATGAGAAGGAGGACAAAGCCTCGGTTGGAGGGGCAGGTGCTCCCTCCTCCGCACGGCACAGACTGGGACGGGCCTCAGACACTCATGGATTACCACCTTCTGCAAAGCAGACACCTGTGCCCTGGAGGCTGCCTTCTCTTGCTTCAGATTCTCAGAGACTCAAAACCCCCAACATCTATAGTGACGAAGTTCTTCGGGGAACAAAACTGTGAGTCTCGTTTCTCTCGTAGTAAACTAAAGGTCACGCAGGACCTAGACGCTTGTCAGTTAGGGCTCATGGATCATCCCGGACAAATCATCCTCTATCCGGTTTTACATAGACGCTGTTCTAATGAGTTCATTGAGTATTTAACATTCTGCTTACTCCAGTGGTCTGCTTAGCTATACACTAGGACACGAGGTCAGGACATCACACAGCTCATTTCGCCTGTGTGATGGTGGGGTGACCTTGGGTGGATTTCAGTGGACTCATCTGTGAAATGAATAATTAGCTAATGCCTTTCAATTACATAATTAATACTTTTTAAGGGGAGGTTTAAATAAAATAATGTATATAAAATGCTATAAAAATAAAAGGACTATGTCCCTATTGGATTATCTTTAAGGATGCATTTCTGTCTATGTGGGAGTTTCAGTAAAGCTTTCGATCTCAGGGATGCACATCCTGTCATGGCCTCATTAGAAAGGTGTTTGTCCCTTGCCCTCCAGCTAACTTACCAGTATCAGCCAGTACTTAAACATTGATAATAACAGCTAATGTTTATTGATCGCTTTCTTTGTTATCAGCACCAGGTAAATGAATTACATTTATGATCTTATTCCCTACCACAAACCTTTATATGGTTGGGACTCATAGTATGCCAAATCTGAGACAGGAAACAGGCCAAGCCTGCCAGAGATCATCCCCGCCAGGCAGAGGCCCACCCGGACACACCCACAGTCTCTCAGGCTTTAGGGACCACCCCCTGGACCCCTGACCTGCAGGCGAGTGGTTATCGGGAGCTGGGCTCAGGAGCGGGCGGCTGCCAACACTTCCCTGGCCCCCGGACTTTTTCCAGATGCAGTCGCAACCCCCTCCAGCTTTTTAACTGGTGACTGTTTCTTTCACAGTTTGGGACTGATGTTTCCAGCTGTGTTGCGTCTGCTGTGCTGATTCCTTCGAGATCCCTCTCCCTCCTCTGCCTCGCTTCCCCCCATGCCAGTCAGCAGCACACGGTGCCAGTCAGCAGCACACGGTGCCAGCCAGCAGCACACGGTGCCAGCCAGCAGCACATGGCAGGCTTTGTCCTGCCCCAGCCTACCTGGGCCCCCGTCACACCTTCATCAGATAGAAACCCTTTATGTTTCCTACTGAGATACATTCAGATGCCTCCGATTGTGCCAGTCCCTCTGTGTTCTGACCCCTCCCTCCCTGTGAGCTGGTGATTTTTCAGCTTTCTTTTGATTATTGCCACCCTGAGGAGCCCTTTTAGACCATTCTTCCCAATTGCTCTCCCTACACATGGAATTGTAGTCCCACAGACAGCCTGTTTTTCTGTGTGCACAGCTGTGCTCTACACATACGAGGGAAGCCGTGGCTTCAGAGGGGCCAGTGCCCTCCCCCTTTGGTGATGCTACCTCACCTGTGTCCCCCGGCTTCTCACCTGCCAGAATTCTCACCTGCCAGAATTCTCACCTGCCAGCCTCACTTTCCCTCTGACCCCCCTACACACCAGCTCTGCGTCTTCTCCCCTCCATCCTCTGTCTTCCACTTGTATCGAGATAACATTTTCCCCCAGTTATCAGAGTGCTATAAGTTCCCTGGGGAGCACCAGGATAATACCACAAATAGCAGAAATGAAAGACCTCGTGTGTGCCCATCACACAGAAGCATCAACATCACAGCTGTTGGCAGATTTCCTGTCATTTGCCAGTTATCCATGTACCTGGGTGCTCAGTGACATGATGCTGTGTTGCAGGCCGACTGGCGTGGACCACATGGTTTCGCCGCTGGTTCAGACATCACGGAGCAGGTTCCCCCCGATAGGCGTGGAGACCAGGGAGCAGAATACAGCAGTTCCTGGATGCCGCCTTGTTTCTGTAAGACACATTTCATTGTATGTCACTGGACCATTCAGGTTCTATATTGGAAAACAAACAAAAACAACCTTGACACTTCCAAGTGAAACTAGTAACATAAGATCTGAGTGGCCATATTCAAATACCTGCATAATCTGTTGCCAGAAAGTAGATGAATGGCTTGTGAGAATTTTCAGGGAGTGAGAGGCTTAATTCACCGTTTTGTGAAATAAAAGCATGTCTTGAACTAAATCAGAAATTCCAGGTGTCAAGGAAATCTCTGACAGGATAGTGGAGCAAAGAAGAGAGCATGAGATTTGGTCAGGAGACAGGCAGGTCCACGTGGATCCCGCCACAGAAACTCTCTTCTATGACTTGGTACAAGTCACTTTAATCTCCCTGAGCCTTAGTGTTCTCTGTAAAAGGGGATTAATGATTCTTACCTCTAAAGAATTCTTAGAAGGACCAAATGAACTCAGAGGTGTTAAATAATTCCTGATGTGAAATTATGAGCTCAGTCAATGATGACCCTGGTATTTTTATCAGGTCTCATTTTTACAGCTAACCTCTGCCATGTCTGTTGCAGTGGAGGGTGATACCTTTTGCAGTGAAGCTCCCCTCAGCCAGGCAGTCGCACAGGTCTGGGGGAGTGTGCTGCTGTCCGTATGCAGAGCCAGGCAGCCCTCAGGTTTACAGCCACCCCTCCCTCCACTCTCACACAAGTCACTTGTCTCTGTTCATTTTATAGAACACAGAAGGACCCCAGTTGTAGGAACATAAAGACATAGTGAGAGGAAAACCCTGCCTGGAGCGAGGTTTCCTCCTGTGTGCCCTGTGCCACCTTGAGCCCAGCACTGGAACCCATTCCCAGAAGGCAAGAGTTGCAAAGTGTTCGTGTTTAACCTTAGAATAACATAATTTTACAAAAGGTGGCTGGACGCAGTGGCTCATGCCTGTAATCCCAGCACTTTGGGAAGCCAAGGTGGGTGAATCACGAGGGCAAGAGTTTGAGACCAGCCTGGCCAACATAGTGAAACCTCATCTCTACTAAAAATACAAAAAAATTACTCAGACATGGTGACGCATGCCTGTAATCCCAGCTACTCAGGAGGCTGAGGCAGGAGGATCGCTTGAACCCAGGAAGCGAGATTGTAGTGAGCCGAGATCACGCCATTGCACTCCAGCCTGGGAAAAAAAGAGAGAGTCTGCCAAGGGAAAAAAAAAAAAAAAAAAAGCAAACATCACATTGAAAAGCCTGCTACTTTACAAATGCAGAATTACATTTCTATTAAGGTTTTGTATCTCTCTTTCCCTGTTATGACACTATCATTTTATCAGGTTTAATAGTGCAGTTACATAATCAAAATATATTCATCAGGTATTTATCCTTAGGAGACCTGATCCTTAGTGATGTCTAACTAAAAGTTTCCAAATAAATGAGTGAATGATTGAGCATGTGGAGATCTTCTTTTGTGTTTTTAAGGATTGCATTTATTTTAAACAAGAACATATTATCCTTCATTTAGTACAGAGGAAGGCATCTACAAAACCGTGTGTCGAGTGCCGTGCCTGATGGTATAGAACGATCACGTCTTCGAGAAAGAACTGCTACCCTGGAACAGCTGTCAAGGCCCAGCACAACCCATACGTTCCGGGTGGGTTCTCTGTTTACTGTAACTTTAATTTTGAAAAACATTTGAAAAAAATGAGATTTGTCCCTGATTTTATTTTTCTTCCAGCAGTCGGATACGCCTCGAAAAAGTTCACTGACACAAATGGAATTTGCTGCTCACACATGGACAGGTCAAAGTATTCTGACAGGTCAGCTTTTCTCCATATATAAATAAAGTGATGTAATGTGTGAGATTTCAAGTTTCGGAAAGGAAAGTGCAAGATTATCTACCTTGATAAGTCTATTCTGCTCGTGTAGGAGGGAATAGCAAGTGTGTGTGGCCTGTGGCCTGACCTCGGAAACCTCGATCACAGAGCACACCTGCACAGACACGCACTCACTCACCTGCTGTCAGGTCAAGAAGGGGGAAATGTCCAAAAGCTCTCCATGAACTGGGGGCCTCACTCTAAAAAGAATGCTGTCTTGGGAGAAGTCAGTCCCTTGTTTGCTATAGAGTTTTCATGCTCTATTTCTAAGTGGAACTTTAATCTTAGATTCTTTGAAAATCTGATGATAAAAATGCCTGAGAAAATTAACACAGATTTGCTAATTACTTTATAACATAAGGTTTTACAGAGAAATATGTATTCTCAGCCTGGTGTGTTGTTCGCAGGATATTCTAGTTTGAATACGGGCTGGTGATGTTTCCACTTCCAGAACAGTCACCAACGCTTTTTCAGGGCGGTAATGTGGCCTCATCATGAGGTGTGCTGCTCCTGGAGTCTGACGTTGGGTTTCCACCCTCACTCTGCCACCAGCTCTGCAACCCTAGGAATGTCCCAACCTCTCTGGCCCTCAGCTTCCTCTTTTATAAGAAGCTGGGTAGATAAAATAATTATTGAAAATCTGTGAAAAGGACCTAGCTAGATACCAGGCATATATTGCTCAAAAATTATGAAGTATGAACCATTTGTATTATAAATGATCTGAAATTTCAGGGATAATTTATTGTTTTACAGAGAATTTTAAACATACAATCCTAAAAATAAATTTCATACTTTGGGAGGCCGAGACGGGCGGATCACGAGGTCAGGAGATCGAGACCATCCCAGCTAACACAGTGAAACCCCATCTCTACTAAAAAATACAAAAAACTAGCCGGGCGAGGTGGTGGCGCCTGTAGTCCCAGCTACTCGGGAGGCTGAGGCAGGAGAATGGCGGGAACTCGGGAGGCGGAGCTTGCAGTGAGCTGAGATCCGGCCACTGCACTCCAGCCTGGGCGACAGAGCAAGACTCCGTTTCAAATAATAATAATAATAATAATAATAATAAATAAATAAAATAAATTTCGTAAAAAGTAAGCATTGTGTAACACAGATCTGTCTGTTCCTGTTCTCAGCAGCCCTTCTGTCATCCTGTAGTACAGTGATGTCAGGGATTCTTCAGCTCTTTAAAATTTTGCTCCTGTGATAATAGCTCTGGGCTGCTGTGCCTTTTTGTTGCTTTTCTGGACGTTGTATGTTCCTTAGCAGCATTAGCCGTCATTCTCATGGCAACAGCTCGTTCTCTAAAAAGCAGCCACGCTACATGGTTACGTGTTGCTTTTTTTTTTTTTTTTTTTTTCTCTGCTGCTTCATTCTCGCGCCACACTTCCTTAATTCTTGTCTTCTTTTTTTGTTTTGAAAGACGAAGTCTCGCACTGGCAGATATCCAGGCTGGAGTGCAATGGTGCAATCTCAGCTCACCGCAACCTCCACCTCCTGGGTTCAAGCGATTCTTCTGCCACAGCCCCCCTCTGAGTAGCTGGGATGGCTGGGCACAGCATGCCATGATGCCTGGCTAATTACCTGTTTTAGTAAAGATAGGGATTTCTCTGTGTGGCCAGGCTGGTCTAGGCTCTGACCTCAGGTGATCCACCCATCTCAGCCTCCCAAAGTGCTGGGATTAGGCTGTTACTCACTTCCTTCAGTGCTAGATGCACAATTGTAGATGCTTGAGGAAATGGGAATTTACCCAAATTAGCTTATCAATCATGGATGGGGTATCAAGCACTCACTCTGTGCCAAGGTCTGTGCGGAAGCTGGGATTCAAACAGCAGGGGAGTGTTCTGTCTGTGCCTCCAGGGCATTGACCTGCTAATTTTTGTATTTTTAGTAAAGATGAGGTTTCACCATATTGGCCAGGCTGGTCTCAAACTCCTGACCTCAGGTGATCCACCCATCTCAGCCTCCCAAAGTGCTGGGATTACAGGCATGAGCTACTGCGCCCAGCCCAGGTGTTGCTTTTAACACAATTGTAGATGCTTGGGGGGAAGTAGGCGCCCAAGTTAGCTTATCAATCATGGATGGGGTATCAAGCACTCACTCTGTGCCAAGGTCTGTGCAGAAGGCTGGGATTCAAACAGCAGGGGTGTTTCTGTGCCTCAGGGAGCATTGAGCCTGGCAGGCAAGCTGGAAAAGGCTGTGAGGGGTGAGCAGGACCACCTGACTCCCCTGTCAGGTGGCTGGAGGGTGCCGAGGCTTCCTGGAGGAGATGACCATCGCAAGGGATGTGAGAGAGGGAGTGAGGGCTGACGGACGATTCTGTGGATGGCCAGCGGCGGGTGGTGCTGAGAGAGGGAACTGGAGAGATTCTGACGAGTTCACTTTTGGGGATGCTGACTGTGGCACGCCAAGCGGAGACGTCCAGTAGGTAGTTTGGGCACACATAGTGGAGGTTTGGAGTGGGAATTGGGTTCTGAATTTGTTTTAAATCTTCACTGTTAATCATTGACCAAATGCCATGTCAGTGTATTCTCTTATCAGTAACTTTTTGCTTTGAAATATGCTATTCATTTCTTCTACAATTATAAAAATAATACATTATCAAAATAGACAACTTACAAAACACAAAAATCCACCAAGGGAAACACAGCCAAGGCCCCTGATCTCACCACGTAGAGAGAACGCGGCTCAAAGGTGTGAGCTGCGATGACGGTACGATGAGGCGCGTGCCCCATGCAGACGTCCCCAGGCCCCAGGTGAGGCTGCAGGTGAGGCGCGCGGCCTCACACACAGATTAGAGCTTGGGAGCAGAAGGCCTAAGTCTTGTCCCTCACAAACGAAAAGCTGTTTCTGTCCTCCTAAGCACTCTCAACGTCAGCCCACCACGATCTGCTAGGACATTCGGGAATGAATTAAACACCAGAGTGGATTCATGGTGGCACCTTTGGAATATCACTCACTGCTTCCTGGAAGAGGAGGTGGGGGTAGAGCCGGTGTGGGGGGACTGCAGTGACTGGGGGCACCCACAGGAGGTACATTAACACGTGCAGTCACATATGGCTGCTTAACTTATGCAGGACCCAGAGAACGGTCCACACCAGTCATCTGCGCCTCACTGCCTCTTAACTACTGACCCAAGACAAAAGAGCTATTAGAAGGGAGAACACAGTCAACCAAATGCACAGCTCCAAGAGGTTTTGCATCTATAATGACAAGCTAACATTTGGTTCTTTGGTTCAAAATATTTCCCCTCCTTAACCATTTTTTAATGCTGCAAAGCTCATCCCCATTTGGGGAGTGCTAAGGGTATGTCCAGGCGCCCTCAGGATGAGGCTGGCTTTTCTTCCTTTCCACCAGGTGCACAGGCAAACTGGCCACAGGGGACTCCCGGGAGCTCCACGCAGCTCGGCACGGCCTGTGCAGCCCGGAAGGGAGGGCAGAGATGCCCAGGGCTGTGGGTGCCGGCCTGTGCATTCCGTAGGAGGCCATGCCCGGTGGTGGTGAGAGACACAGGCCTTGGCATGCAAGTTGTAGCTCTGCTGCTGGGTGCTGTGGGACCAGGCATTCCCTGTGGGTCTCAGCTTCCGTATCTGTAAAATGGGAGTAACACCTCACTCAAGGACTCCTGAAGGGATTAAATAAAACACGGAGCAGGTAATTCGGTGCCTGGTGCGTAACAAGCCTCAACATATCCAAGGACTCATCCTGATGGCCCATGAGCCTATTGAAGGTCAACCCTGTCTCATGTAAAAAACAAAACAAGACTGTGCATCCGAGTCCTGGTAGGGTGACCCTGTCCAGGGCCAACCCCCACCTAGAACCAGCCAGGCTTGTGCTGCTGGAGAGAACTGGCCAAGCCAATGCACTCGGGACCAGCAGTGAGCAGCCTCCGAGCCTGCAGAGCAGGCAGGGCCCCTGACAGGCAGGCTGTGTGCAGAGGTCCCTGGGGCACCGAGGGGCAGAAAACCTCCTGGGGAAAGAGGCCCTTTCACCTGCCCAAGTGGAACCTTCCCCACTGAACACCGGATCTCGCAGCACTGTCAGGCCTTCAGTCACATTTTAAACACTGAACAGAGGGACAGAGGGACCTGTGTTCCTTGATGTTTCATCTTTGTTCATCCATCGGTCGTCTTCCAAATCAAAGTCCAGAAGCTTCTACACTAATTTTGAGGTCAGGCTGAATCTTGAGTCATGAGCAAAACTGTTTCATTTTTCCTCTAACTCTGTATAAGTCTTCGTGGAGCTTATCATAAGCAGGATCCTCATAAGGGAATTTCTGAAACATTTCGATCAGTGATTCTAAGAACCACATCTTTCTGTGGTCCTTCTCAGTGGCACAGCTGTGCGGGAGACATTCCCACGCAAAAGCCAGGCCTTGGTAGCACCTGATCTCAGGCCGGATGTTGGTTCCATGCAGTGTGCGGTGCTGCCTTCCTTCAGTCACGCCCACGCTCCTGTCTTCCTTCTCCTTCAGTCACACCCACACTCCTGCCTTCCTCCCAGCCTTCCTGACACCGTTCCCCATGTAACCCACATCCGCCTTCATGATGGCATCCAACACGGCCTGGCTCCCAGGGTCAGGCCCAGGTGCACTGCTTCAGAGGAGGCGCTCTTATCAGTAACTCTGAGACAGCTATTATTGATGGTCAAAGGTCATTTCTATACCTGCAAAAGTGATCGAGGGTCCATAAGAGGGATCTTCCTGTCTTTCTGAGGGTTTATTTTCTTTTTCTCTGACAAGCAGGCACATAACCTCCTTGCTAACTTTGCATCCAAGTCAAAAAGCACTGGGAACTACTAACTTATCAACTTTTATTATTTCTGTGATAGAAAAAAAAAAAAGGAGCCAAAGGGGTATCCCAGGTAGTGGGAAGGATCCCTTAAAGTACCTGGCGTTGCACCTGCCCCTGGGAAGCAGTAGAACTGCCAGGAAGTAGAGCTCCCTCAGCCTCCTGGGCCAGGACTCGCCTCTGCATAGAAGCTTCTTGCAATTCCACCAGCTCGGGAGGACGCACAGCCTGCACCTCGACTTGGTTTTGGGGGAGCGCCCTTCCTTTTTCTCAGGACCCTAATTGGCATTTTTTGCATATTACTATTTCCTAATTTATACAAAAGTGTATTAATAAAATGTTTTTAATTATTTGCATGGAATGTACAAAACAGCCATTCTGAGTAGTTGCCTTTGTAACATTTTAATGAGAATTACCTCTTGCTTGCTGTTTCCAGGTTCACAATATGTGCCTAAATCTTTTCAGAGGACAACTTTGACTTTAAAGAAGAGATTCCAAGTGACATCTTGAAACCACCTGACCAGAACCATTGGCACACTCATGGTCTCAGCACACCACTTATCGCTTGAAAACTGGAGGAACAAGTATTCTGTTTATCTGTGTGTCTGACAGTGTGAGATGCTAGACTGAGAAAAATGCAAACAAATAAATCACTTAATTTTGAACACTTTGCATTGTAAAGAGAGTAAAAGTCAAATCCACCAAGCTGCCTTGCTGAAAGCATCTCCAAGGTTCTGTAGGCTTTGCTCAGAAGACCCTGACGTGTGTTTACAATCCGTCAGTTTATCAATGATACACAAACATAATTAGCATGTGTTTGTACTCACTCACTAATTACATATAAGAATATATTATCTAGGAACATGCCATGTATAACTTTGTAGTCTCATGTATAACTTTGTAGTCTGACATATTTTCTAGTCTCATTCTATTAGTAATTCCGTCAAAATCCTAGACACTAGTAGATATTAGTATTTGAGACAATATGTCAGAGTCTGAATAAGACTCAGATTGTTCTAGTCATGCTGACTTTCTCATACATTTTTTAAAAGTGCTTCAGCCATGAACCTTTCTGAGAAATGTCAGTGGTGAAATCTCCCAAGCTAATTTTCTTTTTCTAGTTTCCATCTTCAAATTCAGACAGCTCACGTGAAGTACCCCACATTTATTGATCTTAGGGTTGAATGTAAATATAAATGTAATTAAAAGCTATGGCAGATGATGTCATCTTTATTGTTTACAGTCCAAGCTCCTCCATGGGAGGGGAGCCTCGCACCCTCCACGTGCCATCGGGAGCTGGCCTTTGCTCAGACGCCACCTCTGCAGTGACGCCTTCCCAGAGCCCTCGTCTCTTCTTGCTCTGTCCTCCTGCTCTACTTGGCTTTTCTTCAGAGCATGTATCCCCATCTAACACTACTGTAGAAAATGGAGCAGAGAATGGGAAGAGGAATTAGCAGAGCTGAGGCTCCAGGCATGTCTTTCTCTTGTCCCTCTCCCCACTGTTTCTCTTGATCGTGATTCAGGTCCTTATACTCATTTTTATGTTCTCAGATCTCAACTCAGCTAATTTCTTCTTTTCTGTCAGATAATTGCATTTTGTCTGTCTAATTATTACTAATCCAAACTGTAACTTTATAAGGTTATATATATGAGCATATTTATAAACTTAGATTTATAAACTATATATACACATATGTATCATATAAATGCATAATAAATTATTTTCAGACAATTTCTGGCTGTAAGGTGAAGGGATCATTGCCTACTTGTAGATGTCTGAAATTTTAAAAGATGTGTTCAGACTAACGCTAATGTTGTCCTTTATCACAGAGTGACAAAACAAAAATGACCCCAGAGCCCTGCCTCTGTTTGAATATTTCTCCTTGACCTTGCTGACTCCATTTCTTTTTTGCTTTCTTTTTTTCGAGATGGACTCTCATTCTGTCACCCAGGCTGGAGTGCGGTGGCACGATCTCAGCTCACTACAACCTCTGCCTCCTGGGCTCAAGCGATTCTCCTGCCTCAGCCTCCTGGGTAGCTAGGATTACAGGTGCATGCCATCACACCCAGCTAATTTTTTTGTATTTTTAGTAGAGATGGGGTTTCACCATGTTAGCCAGGCTGGTGGCGAACTCCTGACCTCAGGTCATCTGCCTGCCTCAGCCTCGCAAAGTGCTGGGGTTACAGGCGTGAGCCACTGCGCCCGGCCAGCTGACTCCATTTCTGTAGCAATGAGACACATGAGGCAGCAGCAGCAACAGTGACCACCGGGTCCAGGCCTCTTTTCCATCTTCCAGGCCTCTTTTCCATCTCTTTTCCATCCGGGGAAGATGGCTAATGCTTAGTTTTCTGCACAAAGCAAACCAAAGCATTTTTGAAAATTTTCTACATTATTCCTAAACATTAGCAATAGAAACTTTTAAGAGCAAATGCCAGTCTTAATTCAGCAGCTCGCACCCTTGAGGAATAGTTAGATATGTGAGTAGCCTGGAGCCCATGTTACAGGGCTGCTGGTTAGGTGCACTCTGGTGCGTCACTACTGCTCAAAGCGTGACCCACTTGTTCTTTCAGAACCACTCAGGGTATTTTATGTCCATTTCCAGGAACCATCCAACTCCTTCCCCACTCAGTCCAAACTTCCTTTTTTTTTTTTTTTTTTTTTTTTAAACTTTAAGTCCAGGGGAACATGTGCAGGTTGTTAAACAGGCAAACTTGTGTCACGGGAGTTAGTTGTACAGATTACTTTATCACCCAGGTATTAAGCCTAGTGTCCATTAGTTACTTTTCCTGACTCTCTCCCTCCTTTCACCCTCCACCCTTTGATAGGCCCCAGTGTGTGCTGTTCCCCTCTGTATCCATGTGTTCTCATCATTTAGTTCCCACTTAGAAGTGAGAACGGATGGCATTTATTTTTCTGTTTCTGCATTAGTTTGCTAAGGATGATGACTTCCAGCTCCAGCCATGCCTCGGCGAAGGACATAATCTCATTTTCTATGAGCTCAAGCTTCGTAATAGGAAAAACACTGGATATTCAGTCTAAACTAACATTAAGGTAGGGTATCCAGGATAAAATGTTTTTTCTTTGAAAACCACTGAATATACTTTATGGTAACTTTATCTTGTTTGGCTTCAGAGGTTTGCAAATAAGAATCTATTATTTATATATAGGTAAAAAACAAAATATTTTTAAAAATAGAACCAGTTCCAGTGATCTTGAGTCTTCTAAACATTTAAATTGGAAGATAAAGTACCATTTTAGAGATTACATAGATACTTGGCCCTGTCATTGATTTTAAAAATGACCTTCTCATTGCACTGATTTTTACCCCTATGTTAAAGTTAGTATTTTATTTATACATTACATTAGATTTAGAGATTAGTAAATAATGCTTATATCAAGGATGGTGCTTTTTAAGCTAATTAGGTAAAAATTAGGGCAGTGTTTTTATAATCTACTTTAATAAATGAGTCTTACCTTAGAATTAATCTGTTAAAAATTAGAAAAATTGAACTACATCTGAGATAGATTTTTAAATTCAGATTAGTGACTACATTAATTAAAATGTCTGTTTATCCAAAACCAAAGGAAGAATGAAGAAATTTTAATCTAAGAAAATGTAAAATACCATAGAAAACTGCTAGATTTTGTGAATTTAATATGAAAGGAAGTATCCATATTGATATTATTCTGAACTAGATGAAATTTCTACGCCAATTCAGAAGTACGGTTTTATATTATATATCATTTGGGTATTATATTTTTATTGTTTTCGTATAACTACAGATCATTGTGTAGGATTTTTGATTCCTTAATTTCTAATAAAATATAAAAGTGTCAAAAGAGTTTTCAAAAATGTGTTACATTTATAAAAGTATGTTTAGATTCCCAATTTTTGTATCATTTGGCAAATACCTCTCTATTCTGCATTTTCTAATACAGAGGTATTTATTATTTCTACCTACGTAGCAAACTTTCCCCAGTAAATTCGAAGTATATGTCCATATATATTTGCAAAGGCTTTACATAATTTATGAATACTCCATTGTAATGTTTGTTGCAGAAGGTTATGCTCCTGTGTGGTAATCATCATGGATTTGATTTCATCAGACATTTATTAAGCACTTTCTTGGTGTAAGATTTTGTTCTAAGCGTTATATTGAATAAGACAGTCTTTGGCCTAAAAGTACTTAGATTCTAGTGGAGGAGACAGACTATAAACAATTAAATAAAAACATAATACAGGTCAGGTAGCAATAAGTGCTATGAAGAAATAAAGCGAGGCAAGGTGACGGAGTGAAAGGAGCTGCAACTTTCCATCGAGCGGTTGGGGATGGCTGTGTTGCAGAGGTGATATTTGAGCAAACCCCAAAGAAGATGAGAAAAGAAGCCTTGGAGATATCTGGGGAGAAAGAATTGTAGACAGAGCAAAAGACATGTGCCTAAACCAAGAGTCCACCTGGAATGTTTGAAGAACAGCAGAGAGGCCAGTGCCTGGGATGCAGTTGGCAAGGGAGTGAATAATAGGAGCTTAGTGAGGTAACAGGAGCTGAGGGACTGAGGTCCCTTTTGGACTATGGGAAATCTTAAGTAGTCTGAAATAAGAAGCCACTGGAACAGTTGAGTTTTGGGGACAGAATGATATCGACAAGAGATGATCATGTTTCAGTCAAATGATAGTGGTGAGAATCCCAGGACTGGGGATGTGTTTTGAAATTTGAGCCAAAAGATTTGCAATTGGATGAGAGTTGGAGTGTGTCTACAAAAAGATCAAGAATGCCTCCAAGGCTTTTGGCTTCACACTTGGAAGGATGGTGCATTCACTGAAATTGGAAAGACTGCAAGGGGAACACGTTTGGCAGCATGAGGGACATGTTATGTGTGAGGTGCCAATGAGATGCCTAAGTGGAGATATTGAGATATTTGGATATCCACACTTGGGTGTGGAGGTGAGGTATAGACTGGAGGTATAAATTTAGGAATTGTAGCATGTAGATGGTATTTAAGAACTGAAACGGATGAGGTAATCAATAAAATGAGTGTAGAGAAATGGTGGAAAAAGGAGTTCTGAGCCTTGTGCTTTCTAACATCTAAAGGCCTGGGATGTGAAGGAAAACCAACAAAGCAGACTGAGAAAGAATGACTGGTGAAGGGAAATAAGAGTTAGGAGAATATGGCATCCTCAAAGTGTGTGTGTGTGTGTGTGTGTGTGTGTGCAGGGGAAGTGTTTCAAGGAAGCCATAGGGGCTTAAGTATGTTGAATGCTGTTGATGAGTCAATTAAGATAAGGTCTGAGAATCAGACTAAAGGTTTAGCCACATGGAAGTTACCGGTGGCCTTGACAAGATCTGCTATGTGAATGGACAAGGCGAAAGTCTGCTTGCAGTGGGTTCGGGAGAAAAGGAGAGAAATTGAGGACAGTAGTCATGGGCAAGTCTTGTAGGGAATTTTTCTGTACAGAGAAGTAGAGTAGTTTGTGTGTGTGTGTGTGTGTGTGTATGCGTGTGCATGCACATGTGTTTCCTAGTAAGGTTCATCTTGATGAATGTCTTCATTATTCAGTATCAAAATGTTGATCCAAAAAGAAAGATAGCTGTAGTGTTCTCTGGAGGACGTGTGGGGTGTATTCCCACTGGAAAATTAAAGAAAAAGCTGACAGAGCTGAGTGA